CATTATTGGCAGAGTTTCTTGATTGGTTTCATAAGATAGAGGTCAAAACTGGTGAAAACGGCTCATGCCTTATTGAGAGATACCTTGGCACATGCAGACACTTACAGTGCCCATCCCACATTCTGGCAGTTTTCTTTAATTTCTTTTTCTTTTCAATTCTTTAATGTTTGTTGACTTTTATAACAATTCATAAAATAGAATAAAATAGAATGAAGTGAAGTTGCTTTGTTCATCTATTGTCATGGAAACCCTTTTGGGATGATGCTGCAGTTCTTTTCAATTGGACAACCCTTAACAAAATTTGGGATATATTTCCTCGTTGAAATTAATAACAACCGAATAAGGAAACAAACATATCCTGTTTAGAATATTGTATCTTATTAATGTGAGTTTTGTCTAAACAATCATGCAATATGACAAACATTAATTTTTGATTTAAATGTTCATGATAAAAATACTTAAGGTATCTGACTCGCTACAAACTGGTCACTTTTATTAAGGTCCCATCCCAGATTGTTCAGATTTCTCCATTCATCCATTCTTTTGTAAAAGCTCATTGAAAATATATTACTGTAACAATAGAATGTAATTTTCACCTCAGAGCTCTACATTTTTAAGAACAGGTCAAAAAAGGTTGCGCTGAATTAGATTCACAGGCAAAATGGTAGAGTATTAACAATGGGATGGTGGTGTCATTTTTGAGGAGGTCATAAAAAGGTTGTGTGAAATTGCCAAGTCTTTTTGTTTGGTAAACTGGACATATTTCTTACTAATGTTATGAACTCTAATTCACCTAGAATTCATAATTGCGTTTTGACTTTTTGAGAGATATTTGTTATTATTCTTTGTGTTTCTCCATCTGCCACGATTCTAAGATAAATCAGATACTGACAAGCTAAAGCAATGTCATGGAAACTATCAAAAAAACTCTGTCAATAAAATGTAATAATGATCATACATTTATGCTCAAAAATAATTGTAATTGATCATATTCTATATAAAGTTATATCATATGATTCAATAATTTTCAAAATAAATAACTTAATCAGTGGATAGATGTTGAGTAAGGTCATTATTAACCAAGTATTTATAATGACATTAAAGTGTCTGTACTTATATATAAGCTATGCATAAACTCTCCCAAAACATATAAAAATTAGTATGAATTGTATCAAAGTGAAGAAGACTTTGGAGAATATTTGGTAGATTACTATATTTTGAAATTTATTTGCACTCATTATTCAAAAATTAATATTTTGTTAAAAACTCTCACCACGAAAAGAACCACAAAATATGAAATAGAAGCTATTTTATACCTACTGGTTTTTATTTCATGACTAAATATTCTGAAAATGACCAAATCTTTACCTGACCTGTTAACTGTTTATTTTGTCCTGGTTTACATTTATTCAACTTGTCCACACATTTTCACAATATTTATCTTCTCAGTTCTTCTACTATTAGCAGAACCAAAACCCTTAGAAAAATACATGAGGGAATTCCAATGGGCGACATTATTCACATTTTACATGGAATTTTACAGTTTAGTGCTTTATTTTTTTAATCACTGTTAATCTTCTATTTAGCAGAGTCTGCATTCTTCATTTCATGCTTTTTCCTCTTTTGCTTACTTTTCAATTTCTAGGAACTGAGCAATTTTATGTTATAAGAGGTGCCAACCTGTTGACCATGTACAAACCTGTTTCCACCTATATAACTACAGTGAAACCTGTAAAGTGATACACCTCTTCAAATAGAACACCTCTGTCAGTAGAACACTTCAGTTCCAAGGCCAACTTTCTTAATGTTAAATGAACCTCTATGAATGGAACACCTCCCAAGTGGAACACTTTTTAGATGTACCAAATGTGTTCCACTTAGACAGGTTTTACTGCAATGTGCTTGTATACAGTATATTGCAGCAATGTGGTTTCACTTCTTGCGACCCTTGGCAAGATGTGTTATCCATTTACAACGAACAGGCTACTCACTCTTCTTGAAATAATCACTTTATCTGGAGGACACTTGCTTTATTCATAATTTTTGATCCTTCTTAATTTGATAAAACACAGAAATTAGATAGATGGATCAACGTTTATAAATGAGTTCAAATACCCAAAATACAAAACAATATGATATAGTACAATACAACACATAGAATACAAAACAAAATATCAAAAAAGCACACAATGTAAGCACCCAGAACCACAGTCCTGTATTACATCCATCTTTGCAAATTTATACCACTTGTATCATAAAAGACCCCCCACCCCCATCTGTTTCTCATGCAATTTAGAGCTGTTGAAACATCTTAGAATACTCAAGTTTGTATCAATGCCTTTAATCAACCTGGGACAACAGAATTTGATCCTTTTACAAACGTTACTAAATTGTTGCCATGTTTTTGAGAATCTGAGTCCACTATGAAGAAAGTAATGTGATATGGTGTAAAATGTTACTACAGTCATGCATACATGCATCTGGTGAATAAACACTAAACCTAAAGGTACAGCAAACACTAGGGGAGTGTTGAGAGTATAGCTTTTCTTATAAATTGTCTCACAAAAGTATTATATTTTCTGATGATGCTTTTGATGCAACTGCAAAAGAAATAAGTCTTCAATGCCGACTTCTTGCAAAATATTATGAGCTACTATAAATTTTCCCAAACGATTTTCAGTTTCAATGTGTTGTTTAAAAGTGTTGTCTGTTGTCCAGATGATAACCTATGAATGTGCTATGAATCACATATTGAATTTGTTATCTACTCTTCAATAACCTTCCAAGATTGATACATGTACGTTGAAAGATTGAAAAGTATTCTCAGTTATTTGACAATGGGCAAGTATCACATCCCCGGGACTACATCTCGATCTATCAAGGTATTATATATGACTGAAGGAATACTCTTTATGCAAGTACCAAAGTGTCAGTATGTCAATTGAAATTTTTATAAATACTTTTGACATAAAAGTACCAGTGTATATTCTATTGCATATATTCACATTTCCGTTAGTCTTTCATCATATTTCTGGACCCCCTGCCCATCCCATCTACTTGTTCTTCAGAGGTAGAATGTGTAGGGGCGGCCAGGAACTTTTAGCAAGATATTATCTCTATTCACTTGGCCGGGGAGTATAAAAATTGCAAATCAGAAGAATTAAGGTCTATCATCATTTCTATGAAGCAGTATACTGTTTCTATTGATGGGTCCATTTCATTTTGACACATTGTAGTAAAAGTGTATTTTAGTCACAGCTCTCTGTCAAACAGTTGTCAACATTTCAAATGATAAAGCAATATTTGAGAACTTTATTAAACTTACAAAAAATTGAGTTGATGAAAGTGTCAAAATTCTCAGCTTTATTGTAGGACTTTGGTTTAAACCTTTATTCCATAGAATTATATTAAATAGAGATATTTTGAGATTTTGTCAGGTGTAATTTTAGAAACAAGAAATTAGTGAAATGTTGTATTAATAAGACTCCTTTGAAGATAATTATTTTAAGTAAGTCTTTATTGAATCTTTAAATTTTCAATAATGTCTTCATGTATCTGTCAGAAAGTGATCTCTAAGAAGACACCTGGGCTAAGTATATAATTATAAGAAAGCGTTGCACTTTAAAGTAGAAACAATCATTTTTTTTTATTTCATTAAAACATAATAACATTTGTACATATTCGTGGTCGTGACACCTACATAGGTATATAATTGACCACATCATTTATTAAGGAATGAAGTGAACGACTCTAAAAATTGATATGAATTGTGTCACTTGTGCAAAAATAATTTTGTACCTTGAGATAGTAAAATTTTTAGAAATAACACTAATGTGGATGTCCATATTCATTATTTTAGCGTGACTGCTATAAAGAACCAATTACCACCTAGATCACCACATTCTCGTTAAAATAAATGATCACGGTTCTATAAGGGATTTTATGAGATATTAGATTTGGTGGGTAAAGGACATATTGGTTTAAAAATAATAAATCCTGATTGCACTTATACCTCTGATATTAGCTTCAATAGAAGAAACTCTTATATAGTTATGGACATCTCTAAATGGATGTACCTTTTGAACAAAAACTTTACCTGTCCAGAAGTGGTTTATTGAGTATTATATGTAAACATAGGCATATGACCATTCTCAATTAGTATGATATCTGAAGTATTCTGGCATTTGAAAGTGAATGGAGTTTGACTGTTCCTCACAGGTGCACCCAGAAAATATAACATATCTGTCAAGATCGGGATATTATTAAGTTTTGATTTATTCGTGTAATTGTTACTCAGCAAATAAGTGTTTACTATAAACCTGATTTAATTTGAGTTTCATATAGTGGGATGTCGTGATGTTGCAAATAGTCTCATCAAATGAGAAAGCACTTGATATAATAGGGCCAATGTAAGAATACAGTTGTACAGTAAAACTGATGTATGTGAACAACTTTCTGAAGTTAACACCTGAGCAATAGTTTCAGTTCAGTTCTTCATTTATTTTGGAAATACCATGGATTAAGCATGTTAACCATTTTTTATGTCAAAATCCACCATATCGAGATAACTTGGACACTGTGGATAATAGAAAGTAAAATTAAAACATGATATGATTAATTGCTATGATATGTAATCTTATGACCATTGGTCAACATGGTTATAATGTTTTTATAATTTCATTGAATGATATTCAGTGACCCAAGCTATTCATCAAATTGTAACCACTTTCAAACCACAAATGGCTATTCATGTGCGATAATACCTCTTTTAAGTGCCACATGATCCAACCCATTTTATTAAAGAAGTAAAGTAGAATCCATATAAGGTACATGAACACCTCTCTACCTATACATGTACTTATTATGTCACCACCAGAAGTGGTGAAATATTAGGAGAGTCACTTTTTGTGTTCAGCGGTCTGTGTCTGTAACACATGGCAGGTTGTGACATTTTGCATGCTAATGCCTCATTTTATTTGTGATATTTTCTGTGCTTGCAGTTCTGGTACTTCACCTATGGAACAAAGGATGTCCTGGAGAGAGAATGTAAGAATCTCCACACCAAACTCAAGGTAATACCTGCTATCCACACCCTAGTACTATGATATATACCACTTGTCATATTTATGTAATGGTGTGGTTGTCATCACAATGCGATTGTGTTCCCATGGAGACAATTGTTTAGTTAGACCATCAATTAAAATTAGCAAAACAAAAATACAGCTATATAAACTATCACTGCATTTCAACACTAGAGAAATGTACACTTTGTAAATATCTTTAAAGAAGTGACATCTCTAATTGGTAGTTGTCCATAAAGGCCGGCATCGGGATCCAATATGACTTTTGCCATGGAAACTGATTAGTTCTTATTTCCTCAAAGCTGGATATTTTCAGTGTTTGTTTCTATAGTTACATAATGGTGGGATATGAGGCGGGATTCTTAATTGATTTGAGGATGGTATTGTGTAACAACTGCCAGGAACAAGTGGTTTCCTATTGGATATTATTCTGACATCTCGCCTCTTGTATTTCTTGATCAGATAGCATTTGACATAAAGTCTTTACCCTAACCCCACTCCACTGTAATCTATGTTTTACATTTATACAACTTTGTAGACCAAGGGGTCACAAGGGTTTGATACCAATTTCACTGGGTCAAAACTCTCCTGAAATGGTGCTTGATTCTTGACAGAGAATAGTGCCTGGAGAGAGGGGAAGGGAGGGGAAAGTGTTAACACAAGGATTCTATACAAGACTCAACTTGTCCAATATAAAAGAGAGACACTAGACTCAGATGATATCAGATTAATTCTGGAATGCCAGACAAATTCTCATTTCTCTAAATGTAGTCAATATTTTTAAAAGATCTTTGATATCCCATCTTATTCAATTCACTGATGATAAATAAAGCTTGGGGTAGTAGGATGACATGTGTGATTGTATCTGAGGAATTGTCACTTGCCTCTCAAAAATGTCATCTTGAAATGTGATTGAAACTTGGCTGAATAAGCATGTTTTATGAAATTGAACTTTTATAACAACCCTTTGTTTTCGAATTATAAAATAATACATTATAAAGTGGCAGCATAGTTAACATATATAATATTCAACTAAAAATAAAAATTGGATAGACCATCATGAATTTGGACTAGTATATTGTCATACAATGTTAAGGATGCCAAATGAGATTGTGAATAAACCCTTCCACTAGAGGCTGCTGAAAGCAGAAACCTGATGCAGTATAAAAATTAAAAGAACTTAAGATCCCTGCACCAGGGAAGACTATTGAAGTAAAGTCTATTGAATATAAGCTTATATTTTGTAAAGGTGAACCAAAACAAACTTTTTTCAGGTGTGTTTTGATCTTGTCATCTTTTCAATAGTTTGATGCTAATTTGATCATATCTATTTATATTTACATGATTGGGTGTATTCTATCATGTTGCTGTATTTCATCTGATCATCTTTCATATTAAAATAAGTTTGAACAAAGCATGGTTTCAAATTGTGGTCTCGTTGTGTTTTGTGGTGCCAGAATTCTACCCTTTGTGAGACACCGACTCTATCTACCTCTTTGACTTAAAGAAATTCATCATTTCATAAAATATTTTGCTTATAAGTAGCTTTAACATCAAATTCAAATTCAAACTCCCATGACAGGCCATGTAATTTACATGTGAGATTATTAAGATCATAAAAACATCAAACGTATAAAATTATCTGTATTAGTCAGAGGGGTGTATAGCTAGAGAATATGGATTCAGAGTATTTGTTGGCACCAGCATTCCAGATCTCAGGTCATAATGGTCACAGGTCATATCCACCAGATAATTAAATATCTCAAAAGACAAAGTGAGCCCCAGATTCTGTGGTTATCAGAAATCCTCATGGAAATGAATCACTTCCATACATAAATATTTCATATTTGTATTTTAAATAAATTAACTGTTATTGTAAAATTTCATTGGTATTCATATTTTATGGGGATTTATGAAAATGTATTGTAGAGGGAACATACATGATGTTTTCCCTGAAATTGTTATTGGAAGTGCCAATAATTAAATAGTACAGGACATGTTTATTTCTAAGAAAATAATAACATGTCATTTTAATATGGTTCCTGTAAATCAAATTGAAATTAATGATATGTTTTGAAACAGCCATATGCACTGTATAAACAGCTTGTGTTTTTATACATTGAAACAATATAAGTTTGTGTTTTTAATGAAACTGAACTCCAATATGAGTTGATGGTGAGAAATACTCATTAATCAAGTCGTGCAGTCAAATTCAGTTCAGATTTAAGAAAGCCCTCGGTGAACAATTCTTGAACCTTTCTTGGATTTGGCCAGTTTTGTACATTGATTGCATTGTGATCTGTTGGCACATAACAGTCGATGTATATACCTTAGTGTAAAGGTCTTTTGCACTAATTCTTAATTACAGAATTGAATTTTTTCCATCATTGTAAATGTGGAAATAGAAAACAATATACTGATGAATTCCTTAAAGAAATGTTGCAAGAAATGTACCCCTGAGATTTTTCATTCTACATGTACTTGATTTACCTAACTAGCTATTAAACTGAATACTTTTCTTATTCTTCAGATTATATCTAACGCTTTGAAATTTGTGGCTTGATCTTGAGGCTTGATCCATACATAATGAATGGTACTAGGCAACAATATGAATTAACAAAACCTGGTACAATCTAAACCCAATGCTTTTTAGGTTGTGCTGGATGGTAAAGAGCTTAAACTACCAGAGATTGAGGGACTTGTCATTCTGAACATCAGCAGTTGGGGAGGGGGTTGTAGACCCTGGGGGAACAGTCAAGGAAAATTCCCAACTCCAAGGTAATAAGGTTTACCCTTGATAAGAACTTTGCATTTTCTGCCTCTATGAAGACAACATTCATTTCACATTTTGCCTCCAATGAAAGATCGCAAAAGCTACATTTGAGTTATTTAAAATATCTTATCAGTTTAAAAAATATAAGATCAACTGGTGTAATCTTGCCCTAGTGTGGTCACATTCTGATACTGATAGAAAAATATTGCTGTGTACGGACAGGAAGAGATGCAAAAGTAGTTTCATGCCATCGACAATATGATGATTTTAAAATTGATTTTTTGCCCACCCTGTACTAGATGAAAAGAACAATACAAAACATATTAGTGTAAAGGCAATTAATTTATATGTGACTTATAAGTAGAGAGTAAAAAAGACAGAAATGTCACAGATGTTAGTGGCATTTCCTATACATTGTCTCAACTAAACAGGAAAGTCATTCACTTTTTAAATGAAAATTGAAACCAATTTTACAAAAAAAGTTTATACATTTATATACAATAAGTACATAACCATATTTCATTTTTTTCTGCTGTGTGAAATTTTTCTGCTGGACAATTGTTAGTGATATAGTAAAGATTTTCGTCCATCAGTCAGCTTGTTTATCCATTCAAGAAATAGGGGGGGTTAAAAATTGAATTGGCAGGGAAACCAGATACAAATATCTCCAATTTTTGTCTTTTAATGGTTATTTAAGTGTACATTGTATTTATTGAGGTTTATTGACGAAGAAACCCAGATTTAGGAATATTTTGAAAGTTGGGATTTATTACCCTATGGTGTTGGTGTTTTCTCGTTTTTAGACGTCTACTAATCATGCACGGTTTTATGAGTATTTTTTTCATCATGGAGAGTGTATATCATTAAACAGTATATCTTTAGATAGCATATAAATGTTAATGAATTATTTTACAGGATTGATGATGGGAAGTTTGAAGTGATGGGTCTGTATTCATCATTCCATATTGCACAACTTCAAGTTGGATTAGCAGAACCTTTACGACTGGGTCAAGGTCACAAGGTCGAGGTAAGAATACAATCAAGATCATAAGGATGACTTTATTATGACTGCTTCTTAGTCTTAAGGCTCTGGTAAGATAAGATTTGGGTCAAGGTCACATGGTCAAGATTTGTATACAATGACTATTTATTCGAGGTCAAAAGGTCAAAGATAGTTTAGTCACATGTTTGTTATAAACAAATATGCATGGAAACCTGGATTTTTTCTGATCCCATAAAAGGAGCCTTCCATGCCCATGTGCCCATGTGAGAAAAATATAAAGGGTAATTGAGTCTTCCAATTGCATGAAGATTAAGATATGAAAGAAACTATTTGCAATCATACTAACCAGAGAGAAATTCAACAGGATTCTAGGAGAAATTTGTGTTGCATATACTACTCAATAGTGTTACCCTTTGGAAGTCTAGCAATCACTTTTGTTATACTCTCTTCACATCTCTGAGAAATCTCTGAACTCGCCTACAAAGCTCTGCCAATTTCTAGATGTGTTTAGATACACAAATATATCTGAGTGGCCCTTGAGTGCTCTTTGATTGGTTGAACCACTAACTATGAATTGATTCTTTAAGTTAGAGTGCAATACACTAGCCTGTAATCTCAGGGTATGCAAGAATTTGAGCTAATGACTCTATAACAGGTGGTTGTTATATTAAGTCAAATGTAAAAGTGAAAATAAGAGAAGGTTTAAGCTTGTTATTGTGTGTGTATTATGTTTGTCAGTTCTAATGGGTACAGACATAAACAATTACAGAATAAATGATAAGCTAGTGTGTTTTTTATAAACATAAAGCAAGCATTTGACTCAATTTGACACTTAACACAAGTTCTGCTGTGGGTGGAAAAATATCTCAAGGAGTTTTTTGGATATTATGTAATTTCAGAAACCTCGGATTACACGCTCTTAGCAATATCGTGCAAAGCTGTAGTTTTTTCTCAAAAATAATCAATCACAATTACTTAATTTCAGTTTTCTTTGAAATTTTACGTTTGTTATTTTTTCTTTCAAAAGAGTGTGTTATTCACATTGAATTTTCAAAGTATTTGTAATGGGACATATATGAACATTAAAATCATGTTATTTGTCTAAAATATTTTCAAATGATATTTCCTACCACAACTAGGGGTGCCAATATGTATAAAAGAAATGGTAATATCAAACTCCACAACATAATTTCCCTGTTTCTATTTCAGATCACTCTAAGCGGAGGGAATGCCCCAATGCAGGTAGACGGAGAGCCTTGGGAGCAACATCCAGCAGATATTACAATAACATCCAATGGCCAGGCTACCATGCTTGAATATGCTGAATAAACTCTTGGATAACAGTTTGTTTTGCATCAAATCTCTGGTCACAAGGGATTGGGCAGTTTTGCAATCTCACAGGAAAATGTTGAAAAAGGCAGATCATCAAGTCAATGTAATGTTTTGATTTTGAACTATACGTATGCTCCTATAATGTGTAAATATCCACATAAAAATGTGAACAGTATTTACTGTTTTTTTATCCCATCGAACGAAGTTCGGAGGGATATAGGGAACGCCTCCATCCGTCTGTCCGTCCGTACTCCGTACGTACATCTGTACGTCCGTCCGTCCGTCCGTCCGTCCGGGCAATAACTCAAATACCGTTGGCCCGATTTTATTCATATTTTGTACACATATATCCTATGGGGGTAGAAGTTCTGCTCGAAAGCCGATTTTCAAAATGGCCGCTCATTTAAAAATGGCGGCCATTTTAGTGCCGATTTTACAGTAATTTAGGTGCAATATGTAAAACTGTAATAGCAATATGTTTTAAATGTAAAAAAAATTATATAGGACATTAATAAAGCTAGAAATGTAGATATTAAAAAAGCACATGGCAGCCATCTTGAAAAATGGCGGCCTTTACTCGTTAATTTACGATTTTTGCTGTAACTTGAAAAGTAGTGGAGCGATTTTGTTCATATTTGGTATGTGAATACTATAAGCATGGCACACTGTCTAATGACACTTTTGGTAGAAGGCGGCCATTTTGAAAAATGGCGGATATTTTGAAAAATGGCGGCCATTTTAACTTATTTTACTAAAACTCGAAAAGTAGTGAAGCGATTTTGTTCATATTTGGTATGTGAATACATATAAGCATGGCACACTGTCTAATGACACTTTTGGTAGAGGGCGGTCATTTTTTAAAATGGCCGCCATTTTAACGTATTTAACTATAACTCGAAAAGTAGTGGAGCGATTTTGTTCATATTCGGTATGTGAATACTGTAAGCATGGCACACTGTCTAATGACACTTTTGGTAGAAGGTGGCCATTTTGAAAAATGGCCGCCATTTTAACGTATTTTACTATAACTCGAAAAGTAGTAGAGCGATTTTGTTCATATTTGGTATGTGAATATTATAAGCATGGCACACTGTCTAATGACACTTTTGGTAGAAGGCGGCCATTTTTCAAAATGGCCACCATTTTAACGTATTTTACTATAACTCGAAAAGTAGTAGAGCGATTTTGTTCATATTTGGTATGTGAATATTATAAGCATGGCACACTGTCTAATGACACTTTTGGTAGAAGGTGCCCCTTTTGAAAAATGTTCGATGTGATTCGCTACGCTTTGGCGTTGCCGTTGTTCTGGTTTTGTTTTTATTGGTAATTATGATTGTGAGAGTTACATAAAAATCTCATCAAGTGAATCTACCTTATACAAGACTCATAAATATATTACATGTAGTAAAGCAATGTAACAGTATGAGTAGAGAAATGTTGCACATAACTTTAATTGCCATCATTTACAACAGACAGGGTACCATAATAGAGTGTATTGGATGCAATGACACGCATCATGATAATCAATTTTGAAAGCCAAAGAAAAATCAGTTTTAGAAAAAATATTAGTAATTAAGAAAAAACATGCAAGGGCTTAAATGTTCAATTAAAAGTTATGAAACATTGTTATCCATTGTATAATTGACCAGCAAGTGACAAACATAAAGGAGGAGAAGACTCCTTTAGAAGACTGGGGACCAATTGAAGCTTCAACTTGAAGCCTTTGCCATAATACAAAAGAAATAGTCATTCCATAATGTGATGTGATAAAGAGAGTTTTGAAAGAGAATTCCGTAACAAAATGGTGTTAAGATACTGTTTAGATATAAAGGATCAATCTTGGAACTATCTTGAAAATTTTTAAACCCATACAAATGATTGAGCTTATACCTATACATACATACTGTATAGGTATCATGACGCATACCAAAAGAGGTTTTTTGGGCATATTACCTCATATTGATTTATTCACGAAATAGACTGTTCATTGAAATGTTTAATAATGATTGTATCAGCACATAATGGATATTCAGTGTATTAGCTTTAGTCATTTTATATTTATGTACATGTTTGTGTTATGTAGGCTACCGTCCATGTAAGATTCCAGCAATCTGTTTTTACCAAATATTGTGTTTTTAACATAACATATTTTTATTCTTGTTTTTATTATTTATTGCCAAGAGATGCGGATTACATGAGGAAGGAATTAAATGTAAGAATGTTACTTGACAATGATGTAAATAATCATGCAAAAACTCATAGATATGCACAAAAAATATCTGAAGATTTTGGTTATTGTATTGCTAAAAAAGCTCAGGAAATGGAGGATGGTAACATATTCCATGAGTCAAGGAAGTGATGCACCCTCCCCTCTGTAATGTTGCATTGTGGGTCATCAATGAAAATCTCTGCATATATTTAGCTCTGAGAAAAGTAAACTCAAACAGTTTTGGAACCCAATGAGAAAAATATTAATTGAATTAGTTTCAAAACTTAAATGAAAATGTACTTTCTTTAATTAGCTAACTTAACTAATTTGATAATTAGATTATAGATTATAATTTACAAAGATTTGTTCTTATTCAGGTATACGGTCATATTCAATATTAATTCTGTATGGGAACATCTCTATGAAGTAAAGATTTTAATATGAAAAACTAATTCCACGACATGTACATTTATTTTAACATATTTTTTAAAATGAATTGAGAACTTGCTGAAAAGTATGTTTACATTAGACAGATGTCTTTCTGTTGTCGTTATAATCTGGATGTATCATGTTTTTTTTATTATGTTGTGGTATTTGTAATCTTTATTTGTAGTGCAATACTTACATATGCAATGTACTATACCACTATCTGAGTCATACTCTATGTAACTTATATCAATGCAGGGTTCAAGGAATAACATTACCCATGATACTGTGTGATACTCTGGTGATCCTTACATTTAACGATGAAAAACAAGAGACGTCGTATATCTAGTCTCTGCTTCTACCTCACTTTTTAAGGTGAGGTGGAGGTGAAGTATATAGGGGAGGTAGCCTTAAAAGCTTTAGTCAAACCTATAAGAGTGGCACACAGTATTAAAGGTGCCAACAATCTGTTTTATCCTACTTTGTGAATATGCATATAAATGTTCCGATAATATATACATATACCATGCCTTAATGTTGTACATGCATATTATATTCAAGTTTTGAATGTTTTGTACAAGTATTCGATAATAATATTGTAATATACATTGGTGTTGTTCCTTGAATGACAACATAAAAGTCATTTAAAGAAATAAATGATCCACAAGACTATTTTTGTTGTACATTAAGAAGGTTATTTTGAGCTACTTTGGTAGCATTATACTTTTCATACACCCTGTAGTCTGACTCTCTAAATAATAAAATTTCAGTCTGAACACCATGTTATCTGACTCTATGTTATGATAAAGTTTGCTGGGGACAACCTGTAGTTTATTTCTGTCTTATTTTAAGACTTATTCTGGACACCCTAGAGACAGCATGTTATTTAAAGGCACGTTCTGAACACTCTGTAGACAGTATATTATTTTTTTAAGGCATCTTCTGGACACCCTGTAGACAGCATGTTATTTTAATGTATGTTCTGAACACTCTGTAGACAGTTGTTATTTTAAGGCATGTTCTGGACACCCTGTAGACAGCATGTTATTTTAATGTATGTTCTGGACACTCTGTAGACATCGTGTTATGATAAGGCTTGTGGTCATAGCTAAAGGTCACACATCTCTGACACAGAAGAAGACCATCTTCTTATAATTAAAACAACATGTAAACTGACTGAAACTTTACCCTTCTATCTGTCTTAGGATTATTAACACAATTTTGAAGATTTATTTTTCTATGGGCTACTGTAAAATTGCAAAGATTGACAATTTACAATCATAACTGCAAAAATTGAATAATTATTCTGAAGTTTGCCATCAAAAGTGCTATACATTCTGTCCATTTCTTCCTTCCCGATGAATGCACCCAACCTCTCTTGCGAGGGAAGAAGTTTGATTTGCACAGATAAATTGAAATTACTCTGACCAACAAGTGACTTTAATTTGTCATTTTTTCTTCAGATTCCAGTGATATACTAATTATGTTTTGCAATCTGAGTTTTTTAGCCCTTCCATCAAATTAGAGCAATTTAGCAAGCAATCTATCTTGATCTGTTGATATAGGATATTGATATGTTTTCTCAGAAGTATTTATTTCATTTGCTTAACTGAGGGTGTATTGTCATAGAGGTGACAGTTTATTTGATAAGAATGAAACATGTACATGATAAAAATGCCATTAATAGGGTATGTTAACTTAAAATGTTAACAATCTTTTCTTGATCTTGTGAGTCTATAAACATACCTTTCTTTCCATAAAGTTTCTGTGATGCGGCTGTTTTACTATTGCCATTCAAAAAAGCTGCCCCCTCTGACTCACATGCACAATTCAACCATCTCGAGCTACTTTCCTAATATAAAATTATTTTTGCCTTGGTGAAATTTAAATCCTATGTTTTTGACTGCAGAATAATGGCCTCAGAAACTACAGATTGAATAAGAGGGGATCACATTTTGAATCTGAAAAAATATTTTCATGCTTGTGCGGAAAAAAAACAAAAAAAGGGCCCAAATTTTAAATATTTAATGCCCATTTTCTTGATAATTTGGCTTAAAATTAAAAATAAGGCCTATTGCTGTCCAAAAAGGCCCGCTAATTAAAATTGTTTTGGGCCAAACTTTTTTCTGGCAGTGGATACAACAATTAAGGCATTTTGACTAAAATTGGAAACAGGACAGATGCAATGTGGGGGTGCAAAGTTTAGTCTAGCCTAGGGTTGACAACTGGTCATGTCTTCTTAGTGTTTCCCCACTATTTGTTGATGGGACAATTATACACCAATAGTGCAGCAATTATCTGCTACAACACACTTGCTTTTGGCTCTGCACTGACTCACTGCTTATTACAAGAGACAGACCATGCTACCCACTCATAAAATCACACAATGGTTACATTTTAAAACTATGAATTAAAGTAAAATCGAGGAATTGGCAATGTATGGAATCAACTGTGCTTCGTGTATGCAGGTGGAAATAAAGAGAAAAGCAGGGAAACAACAACTTTCTTTCAAATTAAAGAGG